CAAAGTCATGATAGTGATAGGGAGCACTCTTAGTACGAAAGCTATATGATTTATTTATTTATTTATTTATAAATATTAAAACGTTAGGTACGATTGTGATGTAAATATGTGTACATTAATTTACACAGCACTATTTGAATCAAATATTATTTTTAATGAGCTTCTATATGATTGTTTATATTTTTTACATTTGGGAACCGACAAATTTTTTCACAATAATTTTCATGCCTTTTTTATAGTGTCAAACTTGTTCAGTTCTTTTTTCAGACAAATATTAATAATTAAAAATTTCATTAACTTTTACATACCGTAATAACTAATGTTTAAGGTCGTAGCTAAATTATTGTACTTCAAGATGATGACTAAATTGAAAATACAAAAAAAAAAAAAAACAAATAGTGCTTTGCTCCAGATGATTTTCACAATATTAACATGTGTTTTATCTCAATCTTAATTACGATTTAACAAAATCAATATTCAAAGTAGTAAGCGAAAATAAAGTGTTCGAATTAAAGGCTTACTTGCGATCTCGGAGGATTTAAAAGGTTGAGACGGGCAAAACGATGCTGTCAAATTTTTCACCCGAATCGAAAGCTTGAGAGAAAAAAGCGTCGTTTTCGCTTTTTCATACCTCAATAGACCCCCAGTGCACCTTCCGCTTACGTGTGTAAAAATATGTGTTTATATATATATATGAGAATGAGGGTTTATTATAATACTAGTTTTTAACATGACTAGATCTGCGTACACGTTTATGCGTAATCCTATAGCAGTTTTATGAATCGTAACCCTATACATAAAATATACCCCTTACACCTGGTTTATATTGAATAAATAAATAAATATATTTACAAGTATACTATATCGCTCCTGCGTGCCAGAATACGCCGCTTTTTCCAACATATATATGGGTGATTCTGTCAAAAGTGGTCAATTTCAAATTCAAATTATTTTAAAAAAAAGTTGTCGAAAAAAATTATTCTTATACCGCTTTTGTCTCAAATAATATCTATAACAAATATCTAAAGCGATTTTACTACAAAGTTTTTTGGTCAAAAGATATACGACTTTTCCTAAAGTCAGTTTTAGTCAATTTTTCATAAAAATACGTCTCTTTCTGACGCCTGTAGATAAGCTGCTTGTACAGTCCGAGAGTTCTTACTGGGCTTAAATGAAAGAAGGGATCAAGACCTTTCGATTGAAAAAAAAATTTGTTCGATTTCATGCCCCTAATCTGAAGTTAGAGCTATTGAAAGAAGCAACAAAAAATGGCTGAAAACCAGACTTTGCTGATTTTTGCTGAAAATTTGCAATTTTTCTCCAAACCGCTATAACTTTTGATTGGTGCGACGGAATCCAACAATTTCTTTTTTCGTTGAGAAGGCTAGATTCCAGCTTTTATTTAAGCCGAGTAAGAACCACCCAAACGAGTGTACTACTTCTTTACTTACATTGGAAGTGGAATTGACGTTTATCAATGTATCCTACGAAAAAAGTCGGGTTTTACCAAACACCGAGACACGTGTCTGATATTTTAGCCCAACAGAGCTGGAAAAATTTTTGGCAAAGATCCATTAGCTAGAAGTGAGACAAAAACGGCGTCGGATTGTCGGGGGGGATGTAAGTGATGGGTACGGATGTGACATTTCGAGCTTTGGAGTACTGTTGCTGCTCGCAGACTTAACATAAACGATTTTCCGCTTAAAAAACATCTGTCCCCAACGAATAATACAAGAAAAAATTTTATACTCATCTGTACGGATAACAGAGTGCTGGGTTCAGGGGCCGACGGAAGTAACCAAAGTTAGTGTAGACTCGAAAATTGAAAATTGAATTTCGTATTAACTAAAGAAACGGAATGTTTTGAGGAGTTGGCTCGAGGGTTTGTCTTGTTTCGATGAATAATGAAAAAAGTGACCGCTACAAGG